GTGATTCTCTTAGCCTTAATCTGTTTTTCATATGGCGGGATGACAGTCATCATCTGAAATCATTTTTAAGTTTCCCAGAAGTGTGGAAAAACTAACCTAATCTTACTTTTATAAACTGTTTAAATTTTTTTTTAAGATTTTATTTATTTGACAGAGAGAGACACAGAGAGAGAGGAGCACAAGCAGGGGAAGCAGGAGAGGGAGAAGCAGGCTTCCTGCCGAGCAGGGAGCCCGTATAAACTGTTTAAAGGGCAAAATTTTACTTTTAGTTTTAAAATAACTTTTTAGAAGGAGCTACCATTCACAAGGAATCCCATGATTGAAGGTTGACGAAGACACGAAAGAGCTGCTGCTGATGAATAAAAAAGTCTGTTGCATTTTTGCCATGGTTATGGGTCTGCCTCAATGGATAGCCAAATTTGATTTGGGGAGGGGAGCATGATTATTGTATTTCTGAAGACTGAATTATAAAAAATTGAACAGAATGTTAAACTGAGCCTGAATTTTTTTTTTTTTTTTTTGGCTATGGTTTTTCGGATATTTTTTTTTTTTTTTTTTTTTTTAATGCTCTGGGTATCATTGGGGCTCAGAACTCAAAGGTTGAAGAATTATAAGAAATCAAGCATAAGGCAGCAAGTTGTTCTGTGTTTATGGAATGTTTTTTACTGTAAAGCCCATTCTCAGGGCTCCTCATCAATGCTTCTCATGCTGTTTGGCCAAAGCACCCCGGATACAGAGAATGGATCCTAACCAAGGTTAAGAAGACAGAGTTCAGTGTAATGCTTGAGACAGCTGCTGCTGCAAGTTCTCATTCAGATTTTACATTGTTTTCCATATTATTCTTATGTTGGTTTTAATACACTTGTTTATGTTCAATATATATGAAATATTATGTATAGTGAATACATAAAATAAATCATAATAAATATAATTACATATGATTATAAATATAATTGTCATTTAATAAGAAATAAGAAATTAAACATATTAAATATTATTTATGTCTTTAAGTCAAACTTTTAGCACTCTTTACCCCCTCCTCTGCTTAATTTTCCTTTATAGAATTATTGGATCTGTGAAACCATATAGTTCATTTGTTTTCTTTGGTTATTGTCTACTTTCCTCCCCACTGATGGTTATTTTTTTCACTGCTGCACACCAATGCCCAGAACAGAGCCTGGCACGCAGCAGGGCTCAATAAATACATATTGAAAGAATGATGGAATGTTTTATCTGATGATATGTTAAATCAGATTGTCTGGAAGACGTGTTCTTTTCCTATGACTGAGAGACGCGCCTTATCCTCAGTGGGAAGCAGTCCTAGTTTTGGAAAGTAAAAATGTGTTATGTTTAGAGAACATGGGGGACAAAGCAGCAATGACTCCTCCCCATTTGTTTGGCACGGTGAGATATGCTTTTGACTTCTGAGTCCACGAGCACAGGGCATCATGGGCTTACATCATGAGATATTTCTTGATTCCTGATGAATTAGGTAACTTGATTTTACTTCCCACTAAAGGTCCTCTTATTTCATGAGGTTGGTCTTCAGTGGCCTGCACAACGCAGCTTTCCCTGCCCATCTAGATCCTTCTCATCCCTTAAAGCCTAGATTGAGCCAAATTGCTTTTGTGACATTAGTTGCACTTAATGCTCCCAAAATTAAGGCCAATCTTTTTCTCCCATTCAGAGGGCAGTCTCTCAGGCCCAACGGGGCCAGCGAATGGATGTATATGAGCTCTGTGGAGGTGTCCTGAGAGAAAGAACAAGCTGATTTCAAAGCGTATATAGCAATTTTGAGAGAAGTACAATGGTGTAAATCAGCACCTCTTCTACTAATCCACAAATACAATCACTGACTGACTTAACTCTGTTTTTCTGCTCAGTTCTCAGGAAAACATTTACTTTCTTTCATCTATGGCAATTTCAGACATAAAAAGCTTTATCCTTGGCCTGACCATAGCCCCTTGGTAAGATGTAGTCAGGCTTTAAAAGCATGGTCCTGCCAGTTGTTGACAGTTCTGAGTTTACTAAAGAGAGCTACCCTGTTATTCTTTGAGAGTAACCCATGCCATTGTGTTTATATATGTTGCTATCAATATATTTAATACAATGAACTTTTACATAGACCTTCTTAGTGCTAGGCACTCATCTGGGATGATTGCACACATTAACTCATTATCCTACAAAAGAAACTGATTATTAGGTAGGTGTTACTATTATCCCCAATTTATGATTATGATCAGATATGATCATATATATATCATATATGATGAGGAAACTGAGGCACAGGGGGGCGGTGAGTAAAGGCATATAGCTGGTAAGTTCTAGAGCCAGGATTCAAACCCAGACACTCTGGCTCCTGAGACCACTGGCTCCACTAGCCCACTTGTCTCACAGCTTTGTTCCCTCCTATCACCCTTCCCATACCTGTCAGCCAACCCCTTGTCCCTGATCTTTTTTCTTCCTGGTCAGAGAAAAACCCCACTGCCTCTCTCTCAAATCATCTCCCAACTACCAAGGTAAATTTCTTGCATTTCGGATGAAGCCACTTCAGTGACCCTTCTTTATTCTTTGGAAACACTCACTAATACTGATTAGTTCACTTCTTGGCTGGCCCCTGCTGTTCCATGCTTTGATCAAACACACCCATCTGTTAAAATGCTCAAACTATTTTCTCTCTCTGAATTCTTGAATGGAATGATTACAAATGAAAAGTTCAACCAGGAAATGCTCAAATCTAAATAAAGTTTGGGGAAGGTGCGGCTGGTGGTGGTGTCTGGAGGGGGTTAAGGAGAGGGTGTGTCCTGAGAAACTGGGTGTAGAAAGCTCTGTTAGAAACTTTCGCTTTTGAAGTCATGAAATACCGTAGGAACTTTGGAAATGGAAAGGAAGGGGTGGGTGCAAGAGGCATTTCAGAAAGAACAATGGATTGGACTTGTGGGCAACTGCCTCTAGGGATAAAGGAGAGAAGGGAGTTAAAATGATACCGCTATTTTGGGCCTGACTGATTATATGAGAATGTCATTACCTGAAATAGGTATATTCAGGAAGCTAATCTGATTCAGGGAGAACAAAAAGTTCATTTTAGCATCTTTGTCATCATCCCAGTGGGAATGTTCAACAGTTGGAAGACACCATAAGTGAGCATTTAATGAGCTCCCTTCAAGTGTCTAACAGGGCACATGATATTAAATCTCCTACAATAATTACAGTGAAAGGAAGCTGAGGGTGAGGACATCTTTTACACTGGCCTCAGGGAGGCACCAGCCAGAGCATTTGGTGAGTTAGAGACTCTTCAGACCTCAACTACAGAGATGGAATTTGGCAAATGATTTGTTTGTAAAGAGTCTGGCTTCCTATATATCCTAATCCCAAATGGTAGCACATGGCTTTTCTTTATGGCTCCTAGAAATCCTCAGAAAGTGACAATGTCATTAGTTATACGGTTATGTGCTTGATTTCCAGACTCTTACTTCAGATTAGTTCTTAAAAATAACAAACTCAGGCAATCTTGAACTCTGGCCCCAGCTGGTTTCTCTGAAGGCCTTGATAGTGGCAGTTCAGTCTAAGGACTGAGCGGTTAGAGCTGAAAGCTTCTAGGACGGTAGCCCTTATTGTCATCAGGCACTTAAGGTAAACACGCAGACCGGAAAGCTGAAAAGACAGAGTTAGCACATCGCCCGGAGTGCTCAATGGGCAGGGGCTACAACGGTGCGGTCAAAGAGGCTGCAGACTGGCAGACAATGTCTTGAACCAGCACGTCGAAAACGCAAAGGAGTCGATGTTTCATATTAGGAAGCGGCCCCAAATCTCAGACTGATACACCTTCTCCGGTTTCACCTAAGGTCAAGAGTAGTCGCATGCCCCGCAGAGACCAGGAAAATGACCTGCGGCAAATCTCTTCCTTCGATGTCTGAGTTTGACCAACAACCCTACTTCCAGCAAAGTCTTCCGCCCACCCTGCAGGAGGAATAATCTGCTGCGGGGTAGCGTTGGCCCCAACGTCTGGGCCAAATGCTGAGAAGCAGCAGATTTGCGGAGGCTGAGGGTAGGGGAAATAAATCCAGTCCGGGTTTTGTCTGAACGGGGGGACCGGAGAGCTGCGAGGAATGGCTCGCGAAGAGGGGGGCGGTGGTGGAAAACACACAACACAAACAGCTCGCGCGGAGGGACGGCAGCTGTAGGCCAGGACCGCGCGGGCGCAGCGGGCCGGGAGAGGCGCGCGCGGGCCCGGCCGCCGGCCGCATGGAGCGCAGCGCGGCCCGCGGCTCC